GTTGGTAAAACGTGATATAGATGATATTAATGACATGATTTTACAAATATAAATTTCGCAAGTAAAATCAGCACCGAAGCATAGCTACAAATGAAAATATTTAACTTTGTTTTCAATTATTTGGCCCAAATTGCTCAATGTAGTTGATCCATAAATATGAACCAAAAAACATCAGTTTTTCTCTGTTTTGCTTGGTTTTTTGGAGGGGAGAGAATTGTCAGAAATTTAAGTATTCTGCATCAAGTTATCAGACAAATTTAGTCAAATGACAAGTCTCTGTACTGCAGTAAAAACAGAACGAAGTTTTGTGACTTTTGAAAGTTAAACAACTCACGCAAGTTTGATCAGAGCAACAGCTCATTCCAATGATTGTTATATACAGGTAGACAGTAATTGACAGATTCAACTTTTTAAAGTTAGAACCAATGGTTTAACACTTCGCTTTTAAATAGTGCGTGATTTCAGTGCTGATTTCACTCAGTGTGTATGGTGCAAGATGGCTAGTTACATGTACAAGCTGATCAGATGTGAATAGTTCAAAGTAAAGTTGAAGTAGCAACATTTATGTACAATCATACCCCTCAAAAGAAGACTTTTGGCACAGCATGGGCTAAGTTCAAGTTGTCCAATTTTGTCCTTCTGCTTAACATTATAAAAACTATCTGCAAATATGAATTAATGGTATGGTTAAGAAAGCTTGGAAACATAAAAGCTAAGGTTTGGGTTTTTTAAGTATTTTGTATTCAGTTTGGTAAAGTATATCAATCAAACCGAACGTTATAGCACTTTTTCACATATTCGAGAAATCACAATCCATCTTGCACCGGGTTTGAGTTTACCATACAGGCATTCTTTAAAATAAGTTGATCTTCAGATTAAAAAATATTCTGCGCCAACCAGTCCTCACATAGATGTCTCCATATAACATGGCATATTTTTTGGGGGGTTGGTTTTTTAATACTGCCGAGTAGATTGTGATAACCTGGAAAGATTGCCACAGGATGATTCTTCTTTTAAAACTCAAAAAAGCATTGACTTTAAAGTGATGTGAAGAAAGTGATTTGAAATAGGAAGAGTTGTTTTGTTTTAGCACATACAATTTTTTGACCTGTGATTTTTATGTTTTCCTTGGTTTCTGGTCCCTTTTGGGGCCTCCGGTTGCTTCAAGCGAGGACTGGTTAGTAATTCTATTGTTTTTCCTTCGAATCATAAAATGTTGCCAGTTCTTTTTAAGTAACATCTTATCAACTTCAGTTCAATGTCCCGCAGCCAAGAACCATCATCACTGTCCAGTCCACAATTGAGAAACTGGTATGATTAGGGTGATCCATCACCAGGGGTCCCTGGTTGAAGTTGGCAGAGGATGGTTCAACTGCTTCTTGGCATACACAGGGTCCAGTCTCAAATACTGCAGGATGTCAGATGAACCACTCCGCTTCTATGAAGAGCCTCTGCGATGGGTAACACTTGGAAAGTTCTCTGGACAACATTCCCCGTGCTCTGCATCAGCTATCCACACTTTGACTCCACAGTCCGCATCTCAGTGGTGTTTAGCAAGAGCTCTTTGTGATGTCAGCTGAGATAAAACAGGTGTAGTCAATGCTTTGACAGGCAGTGTCTTGAATGAAGTGGCATCTACTTGCGAGGCCAACCCTTGTTGAGAAAAACAAAACAAAAAAGCCTGGTCAAGTCTAAGGATTGATTAACAATTAACAGTACACTGCTACAACACCAAACACCACTACACTGAACGACTGGGTATGCTAAACAATCCTTGACCCACAAAGTATTTAGGATTGCTGAAACTTAAAAGTTTGAGAAATATCATCTAGACTTAAATTCCCCAGACTAAAGACACTGTTGCTATACTTCATGATTCAGGACCAGCTTTTGCATAGCAACCACCATCTCTGGAATGAACCGGTTCCTTTGTGCCGTTCTTATCCACTGAGAACAGTGTATTGTTACAAGGCGTCTCTTATGTTACCAAGAAAAAGCTTGCCCCGAATCACGAGGTATAGCAGCAGTGGCTCTAGTATGGAGAATTCAAGTTGTTATGTTCACATGAATTTAAAGAACTCTGTGTACCAGATTCAGGTCAAAGTTAACTTGGCACCGCGAGAGAATGATGGAACCTGCAAAATTGCCACAATCGGTATTTTGGACATCGGTTTTCGGAAATGTACTTGAAGAACATGTGATCGGTCCAGTCGTAAAAGGATGTTGTTGTTGTTGTGGTAGAATGGCACATATGGTGCATGTGATGTGCCCTTTGTGTCACAAACGTCAAATTATGCATGAACTTGTAGGAATCGGGGTCGACACTAATGACAGAATCGAATGACATTTGCGACTGCTGACTTCGGGACCCAATTAATTGTGAGAGATAGTTTTTTATTTTGTGATTATGGTTTTAATATTGTAAATATTATCACCTTTCACCACTTATAAATCTGTGTAAAATATCCGTGGGAATTATCACTTCTCGGTAAGATTTATTGGCTAGGATTTCAACAGGTTGTTCACGTCCGACAAAAATGCTGATGTTCGATACTTTAATTAATTAACTCCAATTAAGTTGAAAGATGGACACGGTCATCATTGTTCCAGACATCAGCCATGACTTCCCTCATTAGACATTGGGAATTTATTCACTGCTGTTCACTTCAGGAAAAATGAACACCCAAAGTTGAACATTATCTAACGGTCCATATTTTGAGGAACCTGCCACATGTACATTTTACATTAAGAATACAAAAATCTTGACATATATAAATTTGATTGTAAACTGGTGATTTATTCTACATGTACATTCAGCATCAGAATCAGCATAGTATCTCAGACTTGACTAATTGATTTCTTACCAATGGATTGGTTAACTCTCAGTCTCAGGTATATGGCTGGACTCTCCTGGGAGCTGCATGCATCCACCGTAGCACTCATCACATTCCATGTCAGCTACACATATAGTAGCTGTACATGTTGCCACTGCAACAATCCTCTCCACAGTGTAGAACTCAATAAGATGTACATATACAGCTCTTGGTGTTGACTCTGTAGATCCATTGCCAAGAGGTGCTCCTCACAAAATGTTTCATGTATCCTCATCCAAGTCCTGGGCTCAGTACTCAGAGTAAGTGGAACCAGAAAAGCCACGTACGTACAGTCTCTCTTTGCTCGACATAGCATTTGATGAGCTCTCACTGAGCTTGCACATGAAAGTTAGTTGCTCTTTGGTACATGTACATGATCACTCTCGGATGGCTTAACCAGTGAGACACATTCACACATTTAAGTAGAGCCTGTGATAAGCTCTCGCATTGCTTTCAAAGAAACAGCATTCTGCTTCAGGATCGAACACATCCAATCACTGTTTGATGAATGGTACACAGATATTTTCATGATCAAGCTCTTGGACTGCATAAACATTAGAAGATGTCGCCTAAGAGTCACACGTATAGTTGTCCTGAGATACTGACGAGGCTCTTGATTGCTTTCTCAGTGGAAGGCTTCACAATGTTGTCACTGTCTTGTATTCTGTTATGTCCCTCTAGAATTTTATAGTCAAAGGCTTTGCCACAGCCTTACAACAGCCCTCAGGGGCATTCATACATGTATGTGTATGTGCGGGCCTGTCACAGCAGAGGGTTTCATTTTCCAGAAAAGTATAATAAAACACAGCTCTTCACTGCACCTGAGCTATCAAACAACTCTCATACCGAAGGCCTTGCTAAAGGTGTCGTTGGATGTTCTTGGTGTGGATCTTGTACACGTAGGTCTAATAGCATTATAATTGGGGTTTCCAATCTGTACAGTCAACATCTTGATGTTCTCTCTGGAACCACACAATGAGAAGGCAGATGGAGTATAAAGGTCTAACCACCATCCTATCATAGGGAGGGAAGCAAAAAAAGAAGAAAACTTAGGCTTGGTGGAACGGCAAGAACTCTTAAAGTGCAATATTAGTGACCTCCCCACTTGGTTGAATTCTCAGAAAGGGGACGCGCAATGAACAACGCACAATGGGCAACGGACGACGCATGACAGGTGATGCATAATGGACAACGGAAAAATGGCATCTATGGAACTGGAAAATGGCAGAATCGGGACACAACAAAAAGCAAGAGGCAACAGACGACAGGCGCCTGACAATGAGCGACAGAAGACGGGTGACGGCATATATATTGAATTCCATACTTTTTGGTCTTTGCTGTGTTTTACAACAGAGCTATTATTTCCCCCTTTTTTTTTTTACAAATCAAAACTCTGCCCCCTTTTTACCAACCTAAACCTGCTGGTATTGAAGAGTGTGCCCCATCCCATACATGTACATGTAGGCCAAGTGCCCCCCCCCAAATGCGTCATTCATCTGGTTCAAATCCAGACTACGGTATCATTTAGTCATGTTGTTAGTATGCACTTGGGTGGAAAGAAGCGGGGGGGGGGGACATTGGCTTCCCTACTATTTCAACTGGAGAGGGCAATTTTTACAGGTCCTGTGATGAAGTTTGATTAATGGATTGACCTACAGTGTACGTATTAGTAGCTTGAATATTGGTCACTTTGGCACCTCATCAACTCGCAACCTATCCAACTCAGCACCTTGTCAACTCAGCACCTAAATTTTTTCTCTGGTCTGCATTGTCAAACTCGGCACCGGCACTCGCAACCAATTAGTTCTTATTCTGTGCATGTGCTTGGTTAATTTTGGTTGATTTGGAGATTTGGTTATCTGCATGGATTTTGGTTACCCAATTACTTCAACAAAACTGACAAAGAAACTCATAAAGAAACAAGAGTTTCTATGTAAAAGGGAAGATTGAAGAAAACCCATTTTTTAAATAAAAGTCTGATTGTAATTTTAAAAAAAATAACCCTTTTATCTTGGCCATTCCATGAAAGCTCATGATCGAAGTTACTCCCTGTGTCCCCAGCCCCAACCCACAAGCCAAACAACTACTTAGCCCAACAAATTACTCTATAGATTACTGTGGCTACCCAGCCCAGCCCGCTTTGCTTGAAACTGAGTATTTAATGAATGCTGTCAAGAGGGCTTGGAGGTGTAGATTCCAAACCAGTAATACTTCTAGAGACCTCTGTGGTAAATTTATGCATACATTGTACTTTGACAACATTTAAAATACAACTCTTCAAGGTCTCCGAGATATGCATGAAATTAAAGTGTATTCTGTGAACATTATTTTCTATTCAATTTGGATATTAACCGATGACTATTGGGAGAAAAATTACATCCAAACAGTATTTTTTCAAAAAGTATTCCTGATGATGAACATCAAAGAAGGACTTAGTTTCATCCAAGTTTCGCATAAATACGAGTTTTTGGACCTCTGCACGGTTTCCATTCTTTTTTAGTTCATGGCCCTCAAGATGCTCTAATTTTAGCGAATTTGAGGACATGTACATGTCTTTTAAAATTCATTAAAACCCTAACCTCACCCAATCCTCAAAGGTCATAATGCTGGTTTTTGATGATTTATCAGGATTGAGGATGAATAGCAATTGAAGCAAATGATGATTTTGGAGGACTGAGGACGAACGATGATTGAAGCTGATGATGATTTCGGAGGATTGAGGATGAATGGAGTTACTGGTGTTCAGTGTGTTTCACAGTACTGTGCAAATGCATGTACAGTATACAATCAGCCTATGATACATGTACACTGTGTACACTGTATTTATGACTGTGTACCACTGGTTCAAGGACAAGACTCCCATTGTTTTAGCTGTTAATGGTTAGTCAAGGCTATCCCTGGCTGCAGGGTGTTTAGACCACAAATTGATGATTCTAGAGGATTGAAGATGTGAGCACCACCCATTTTGAGCAAAGTACAAAATTTTGATTTTTTGGAGGATTGAGGCTGAACGCATTTTGGGAAGTATAGCAATTTGATGATTTTAAAGGATTGAGGATGGTACCAAGCAATTTGGACTTAGGGGGTTAGGGTTTTAATTATAATTCGGTCTGCGTGCCATATTAAGCTCAATTAGGTCCATTGGAGTCCAAACCTGTAATCACTTTTTGAGAACGGGGCGGCAACTACATTTCAACCCAACCATCGTCGTTTTGAGACTTGTATTCAAATTCAACAAATGAGCGTGACTGAAGAGAAAATACAAAGTTCTCTGTTAACTGGCTCAGAAACTATTGTCAAAAGAACTGTGAATGACCTTTTGACAGACCCTATCATTACCAAAATTAACGGTTCTTCCTTGGGCCAACCAATCCCTGCTTGAAATGTATAGTTATCGCAGAAATTTATATTGACATCACCACTCTAACCTTAAGCTATCAATAAAATTTAATTTCTTCACTGGACCAAATGCAACCCCCCTGAAAATTACACCCAAATTCATCCAGCTTAATCACAATAAGCCTATTTTTGTCCCTAATTGAGCTCGGATGTACTCTATTTACAATGTATTCTGAGCATGCACTGTGGAATCCCGTAAAAGTTTAAATGACCTTGGCCTTGTGGGCACTCATAATCGCCATGGATGGATTCTTCCTTAGCCCACTCCGAATCCTCTACAAAATTTCATTGAAAAACATTTTTGACTTTCTAAGAAATTCTAGTAACTGGTAAACTTGACAAGTCGGATAACCCGATCAAAAAGGAAACAAACACCCCAATGCCACCATAACAACAAACCCCTGAAAGAGTGGTAAGATTAAATACAAAAGGAGAACACCATTTCAGGCCTATATGTACATGTAGTAGGGTAGTTTTCTGGTTCCGGATCGCGAAAACTTTTCGTGTACAGGCTATTTGGCTCAATCCACAAATTCAAGAACAATGTGATGAATAATTTACCTTTGTGAAGGAGGTACATGTACTAAACTTTAATTTTTTTTCCAAAATTGAACTCTTCTTGTTTGAAACTGGCAATGATCAAATTGCCAACGTAACTTCTCCTTGTTCCAGATCGCTTTAGCCAGGTCTGGATTAGGTTGAAAACTTTGCACATTAATTAAAAGTAATCATGCGAGACAATCTGACAATCATTTATGTTTCAGCCAAAACCACACCAACATTTTCCAATAAAGTTTTTTTCCAATTAATAAAAGCAATCATGCGAGACAATCTGACAATCATTTACATTTCAGCCAAAACCACCCCAACATTTTCCAATAAAGTTTTTTTTCCAATTAATAGAAATTCAGTCAGTGTGACAAGTTTCTGAATGTCCACATTTTTAAAAGACACCTTGCGTTAATGATTTTAATTCGAAAATCTTGATGACTGTAGAGTATGACAAAACAGATTTCAAATAGCAATTCTATTACACTGTATGTTGTGAGTAAAGAGTTTTTTGCAAGCTGTCCAAACTTTACTACATATAGAAACCTTGGCAAAATATCTCTTACCAAATGTTTGTCACACTTATGTTTTTTAACCTAAACAAATCTCCAAGCAGCAGGTTGGTTGGTGTGATGTAGCTCATACCCTTTCTCTATCCACTGCATAGCGAGTACGTTTTTTGTAGATGCCGAGTTGGCAAGGTGCCGATCTGGCTTTTGCACAGATGCCGAGTTGGCAAGGTG